CCGTGGACCGAAGGGAATCTTACCTTCCCCAGGCACGTACGCCCCCCCGCTCAGCCGCTGGGAACTGCGCGCTAGGAGCTGCAGGAGGAACCTGTCCCAGGAAAGGGCGCCGGAGTCGGGGTGAGGGAAGGAGGGGGGCAGTTGTTCTCCTCCCCCCCCCAGGCAACGTTGCCCCTTTGACGCGCGGCGAATGCTAGAAATAAACAGGAATGCCAAAAATTGTAAACGGGTCTTCAGATTTTTTCCATTGCCGACTGCTTTGTGTTAGCACGCGGAAATCTCGGAGTAATTAAAGCAGCATGTGGAGGGCCAAAGCACCAGGCCTGGAGAGGTGTGGAGGCGTGGGGGGGGACACTGACACCCGTCTCCAGGGGGCGACCCACCCGAGTCGCGTGCGTGGCGGCAGGTCTGGTTTCGGAACGAGAACGAGCTGCCGCGCAGGAAGATGGTAGACCTTCACTTCTGCCATCCAGCAGCTGCTGAATCGAGCAACTTGGAATTCTGGAAGCCGCTCTTGCGGTTAACGGATTCTCCTTCCCCTCCTGTGAAGCATTTTAAAATCCCGTCTGCGTGGCGCGGCCTTACCCACAGGAAGCTGCGTAGGCCTGGCGGTGGCGCAGGGCAGGTTCGGAAGAGTTTTCTGAATTTCACGCGGGATAATCGAGGGATTTAGGCCACGTCTGTAATCCTAGATTTCTTGTCTGTCAGCCACAGACAGATGCATCGAAAGACATCGTATCCATATACATTCATGTAATGTCACAGCTGGTCTTAAAATGAAAAAGGAAAAGAAACGTGCTTGTATTAAAGATAAACGATTTTTTCCCCGGAGTTTTCGATCTCGATGCCGGTGTGTTGGCACGTGCCCACTCCAAGATGTGTGTTCTCACCTGTCCGGGCCGGTGCCCCCCGCTGTGTGCCCGGGCTGGAGGGCTGGCAGGAGTGGCGGGGGAGGGCTGGGTAACGTGGCTCTCTCAGATCCACTGGGCAGTGAGGACCAGGTGAGCTCGCACAGGGTACCGGGCAGGACACTGCGTGGACCTGTCCTGGTCACCGGAGATGCTGCCCTGGCAGAATCCATCTGAGAGGCTGCCTCCGTGTCTCATTCCCAGAATTCCTCAATTGCAGACCTTTTTTAAATTGGGGCTCTAGAGGACAGGTTGTCATTGTTGTATAGTGAAAGACATCTGTAATTATTTGCAAAGGTATCCTCAGCTCTGCCGTGGTTTTATATCTGAAAGCGTATCTACTGAATGAATTTAACTGTCCCTCTTTTTAATTCCTCTGATCAGCATTGGTCACTGGAGCAGCTCTGGGGGACGGGACCTGCTCAGCCCCAGAACAGATTGACTAGAGCTGATGCTGCTGTGAAGCCCTGATGTGCTGTTTTTTCAGTCATATTACCTCCCCACAGCCGGGTCCTGGAGAAGCTCTGCTCTGTGCCCTGGGATCACAAGGCTCGCCACCGCGAGGGGGTGGTGCCAGCTGTGTGGGATTTTGGAGCGGAGTGCACTGCCTAAAAAAACAAAATGGTAACCAGAGGGGCACGCCACAACTTGTTTTGGCGTCAGATTAAGTGGCAGCAGCATCTCGGTGCCTCTCCGACACCTGAAACCGGCATTAAGACTGGTAATTAAGGCCGCGGTGCCCGTGCCGCGCGCAACTGTGTAATGTATGGCGCGGTGCAGAGCGATGAGTGAGCCCCGGGTCTGGCATTTGCGGCGGAGTGTGTTTGGCACGGAGGCCGCCGTTCGGTTCTGCCCCTCAGGTGTGGCGGCGCACAGCAGGTGCGTTGTTTGCAAGCTGTGACTCATCCCTGCGGGCAGGCTCTACCGCCAGGCCTGCACTCACTGGGGGCCCAGAGCAACCTTTTTCAAGGCACTTCCAAAGTACTTCAGCGTCAGCACTCCTTGTCTCCCCCAAGCAGAGCCGTGTCTTTTTAATAACAACGAGCATGGTGGCGATGTGCAGGTGCAGTACTGTTCAGAATTACTTGTGTGCTGCCCGTCGTGCCAAGCGGTGGGCAGACAGGAAGTTCCTAAACTCTCTGCCTGACAGGCGACAGTCCAGCAGAGATGTTTGCGAAGAGTCCAGCTGCAAGTGCAGGAGGTAACAGTGGGCGTCGCTGCTCGGAAACCTTTGCTTCGGCCCTTTTCTTTCGTCACCTCAGCGAAGGTTTGCGAGCAGCTCCACGCCCACTGATACCGGTTTATGTGAGGACATGCATCTTGCTGATCTTGACAAAGGTTAATATCAATATTAAGTTCTTGTTTTCCTTTCTTTGGTGATAATAGAAGAAAAATCATCTTCAGCAGCAGCTTCGCTCCTCTTCGTGAGTTGAGCCCCATGCTGGACTTCTGGCCAGGAATGTCAAGACCAGGAGCACTTAGATCGGATAGAGGCAGGCAGCCAGCACAAATCTGAGTTCATTTCAGGTCTAACAGGATGACGTTGCTTCTACAAATTACACTGATGAATAGCAAAACAAATATGTGTAATTGCTTTTATTATTCTTTTTTTGGGGGAGGCGAACAGTCGGTCAGACATTGCTTGTGCAGCGGGTGAACCGAAAGATTAGACACTGGTTTTGGGGTGACTTCGTTCGAGCAGGCTGCGGGGTGGGGGGGTCCACCGCGTGCCCTTTGAAAATGTAACCAGATCACAAAATGGCAACCTGAGCTCCAGCACAGTAAGTGTAGGATGCAAAGGAACAAGTAATAGGTTTATTCCATGCTGAAAAAAAGAAGAAAGAGAACACAACGTTTCGGCCGTGCAGCCTTCTTAAGTGTATGATGTCCTGCTCAGCGGCCCTCACCAGAATGACCCAGCGAACGCTGACACCTGGTGCTCTGGGGCTGGCTTGCACATCGAAAGCCCTGAGGCTGTAGTAGCTGGGGCAGCTGGTAAAGCAGCATAAAGCTCGACAGCATCTCATTTCCTGCCCTGGACTGCGAATCGTGACCCAGCCTCGGCAGCCCGGCGGACAGGAGAGGTCCCGCCGTGTCCCAGAACTCTCCCGCCGGTTGCCGAAGACGAGTGGAGGGGTCTTGCGACATGTACCGAGCTGGTTTTTCCCAGTTTTCCCAACTCTTCCTCTCGGCTGCTGGGAAGCGGAGACGTGTATGGCGGACAGCTGAGGCGAGGTGGCCAGGCCAGGCCTGGGTGCGGACGCCCGGGGGAAGACAGGGAGAGGGGAGTTGACGTCACTGCAGAGGAACTCGTGTCTCTGCCTGGTCTTGTTGATGTTTGTGCATTCCTAGACACAGAGGAGGTTCCTCTGACCTTTAGACAGAATTTTCTATCTTGCCTGCTGTCCAGGCTTCCACCGATTTCCTTTTTGTGCACTGAAGTGACGATGAAGCTTTGGGGGGTTGTAGCCATCTCCGTCATTATTTCATCAGAAAGGGACATGTTGCAACCAGCTTCCTGAGTTCCTAAGCAGGAATATAATTAAACATGTATTAAACATCCTCTTTTCATGACTGATATCCTAAGTAATTGGGTAATTGGGTCTTTTTTAGTTGTGAGTTCCTTTAGAAATCTTCATTCTTCCCCCACAATTTTATTAAGTATTTGTAAATGCCGGAAATGCAATTTTATGTACCCATGATTTATAAGCCTTGTGTGATTTTGTTTTTTTTTGCTGACACAGTGATTGAGTGGCACACTGACTGACTGGTTGACTCTCTAAACTGCTGGTCTCTCTGCCTGTGTGCGTCAGTCTGAGGGGCTGCCTGTCTTTCTGCCTGTGTGCGTCGGTCTGAGGGGCCTGTGTGTGTCAGTCTGAGGGGCTGCCTGTCCCACTGCCTGTGTGTGTCAGTCTGAGGGGCTGCCTGTCTCTCTGCCTGTGTGTGTCAGTCTGAGGGGCTGCCTGTC